AAATCGAAGCAAAATATGACTTCAATATGCATACGAAAATTAGAGGAGCTGCTGATGTATACAAACCCCGACAGACCGGCGTTCTGTTGGACAGTCAAGGTGAGATAATTCTTGATGTCAACGACAAAGTGAAACAGTGGAGTAGCTACATCAAAAGCCTGTTTCAGGACGAGAGATCAGACATTCCTGAAGAGTATTCACGAGAAGAACAAGATATATCTGCTAAGGAAGAAGTCCAACATGCCATTGAGTTATGCCAAAACGGGAAAGCGACAGGCCCAGACGGTGTCTACTCAGAACTTATTAAAATCCAGCAATGAAGAATCACTACACGCAATGGTGGGCATCATTCCCTCTGACTGGCTTAATCCAATTTTTGTAACGCTTCCGTAAAAAAAGCTCTGCTTAAAGATGTAGCGATTATCGCCTTGTTAGCTTGATGATTTTTCTTAAGATCATCCATAAAAGAATATACACAAAGTGCGAGTCCTTCACGGGCAGATTCCAATTTAGTTTTCGTAACGGTTTTGGTACAAGAGAGGCCCTGTTTAGCATCCAAGTACTGGATCAAAGATCTAGAGATATTTCTATTCCTGTATACGCATGCTTTATAGACTATGAAAAAGCATTTGACTGGGTACAACATACGAAGCTCATAAAAAATCTCAAGAATGTCGGCCTAGATGATAGAGAACTCAAGATCATTGCAAATCTCTATTGAAATCAGACTGCACAAATCAAGATAGACCAACAAATGTCTGATGAAGTACGGATGAAAAGAGGTGTCCGGCAGGGTTGCATCCTCTCACCATTACTTTTTAATATTCATTCGAACAAAGTATTTGGAAAAGCATTAGAAAACTGCACTGAGGAAATTTCTATCGACGGCGTGAACATCAACAATCTTCGGTATGCCGACGATACGGTTTTAATCGCTGATTTTCTGGAAGGTTTTCAAGTATTACTTAATCATTTGGTTACTGAAAGTGGAGAATTCAGATCAAAACTGAACACCAAAAAAACTAAATGGATGGTGATTAGTAAGAACAAGGTTAAAGCAGGTATTCTTAAGGTACAGAACCGACAGATCGATCAGGTCCAATCATACATAAACCTAGGATGTCAGGTTAATGAAGACTGAGATAACATGCAGGAGGTTCGTGCCAGGATTGAACAAGCCTAAGCATAATTTGTAAAAATGAAGTCCGTGTTGTGTAGTCAGGTCTCTCCGCACTCCGTTCGCACTTCAGTTCTACGTTAATACGTCTTCAGTATTCTCTATTACGGGATTGCGGCGTGGAATCTGACAGACGCCATGTGTAAAAAACTAGAGGCTTCTGATAGGTGGACATATGGACGAATGTCAAAAATATCTTGGACAGACATAGTGCACAATGAAGATGTGCTAACGAGAATGTCACAGAACCTGCTTCTCAAGGTCATAATTGAGGGAGAAATCGAAGGCAGACGTAAACGTGTCGAACTTTATATCATTTATATCATTGAAATCAGAAGCAGGGCTATCCAATGAGTTATTAGAATATAGGGTTTCCTATTTAGTAAAATCGGACTTTGGTCAATATCTCGGAATACTGACAGAATACCAGAAAACTGAGAATGTCATCGAAAAAGGGCTTCTAGAAAATTTTTACGGAAATCAATTATATTCATAAGTAAAAAAAAATTGAAGCTTTTCCTTTTAAAAGTGTGCAAATTGGACCACCCTGTACACGCTAGAGATTGAAATAATATTACTTTTGGAATATGTAGTGTTCTATTTTAAAAAAATGCTCGATTTCATCAACCAAAGTTAAATTACCTGCAATATTCTACAGTAGATACCTAATAGAAAAAAAAAATTTCACCCAATTTTTTAGTATCACCCTGTATCGCTACCGGGTCGGTGCAATGAAAGAAAATGCTTATTTCGACTTCTTAAATAATATACTGAAGTTTCAACAAAATCTGTCGGTGACCGAAATCCATAAGAAGTGTGAGATGTTCTTTACACTTTTTCTGTAAATTTACACTTTTTTTGTAAATTTAGTTAAAAGTTAGGGTTAGTTTGGGTTAGCTTGCAATTTTAATCAGACATTTTCAACCTTACCAATACTAACCCGGTTAGTTTGGGTTACTTTGCACTTTTAATCAGACATCACCAAACTTACCGATAATTACCCGGTTAGTTTGCAATTTTATTCAAACATTCCCAAATTTACCTATAATAAATCAGTTAATTTGGGTTAGTATGCAATTTTATTTACAACAACATACGTAATGTTGACATTTCTGACTTTTCAAAAGTTTGAAAGTGATACTTTTTTGAATTTTACTTTCCTCCCGGGTGAAAAGTGGTCCCGGGTGGAAAGTACTAACTTTCCACCCCGGGAGCCTTCATTTCCTAAAATGTTAAAGACAAGTCCTGCATGTCAAACGTTTTAGATAAGTCGGAACTTGTCAACAAATTTTTAAAATTTTTATTTAGTATTTAGTCGAAAATTGTGATGGTTGTAATTGTTGTAAATAATAGTATATTATATAGGGTGTCCACTTAGTGCGATATCGGACGATATCTCCTTACAGGGTAATGCAAGAAAAAAAATTATATTACAAAGTTGTTTGATACTCTAATATGCATTAGTTAAAAATATTTTTTAATATACAGGGTGCTCCGTTTATAGGGTATGCGACAAAGCTTTGTTAATTTTAATGGAACAGCCTGTATGTGATTGCATATTTGGATTCTACGTAAAATTCTGAGCAGATTTCATGTGATAAACCCTATACCTAAGTTCAACTGTTTTGGAAATATTGACAGTTGAAAATTGACTTTTTGCACCTTTGACAGGCTGTAAAACCTAAACGGTTAATTTTAGACGAAAACCGATTTTACATTCCTATCTTAGATTTTTATAAATTATCATTTGACACCAATTTTGAATTCAATCCATGATTAAAAATTCCAATTAAATTTAATCTCCTGTTAAATTCAAAGTTGGTGTCAAATGATAGTTTATGAAAATCTAAGATAGGAATGTTAAATCGGTTTTCGTCTAAAATCAACGGTTTAGGTTTCACAGCCTGTCAAAGTTGCAAAAAGTCAATTTTCAACTGTCAATATTTCCAAAACAGTTGAACTTAGGTATAGGGTATATTACATGAAATCTGCTCAGAATTTTACGTAGAATCCAAATATGCAATCACATACAGGGTGTTCTATTTGAAATAACAAAGTTCTGACGCATACCCTATTAACGAAGGACCCTGTATATTCAAAGATATTTTTAACTAATGCATATTAGAGCATCAAACAACTTTGTAATTTAAATTTTTTTTCTTGCATCGCCCTTCGCATCACCCTGTAAAGAGATATCGTCCGATATCGCACTAAGTGGACACCCTGTATAATAAGTGTGGTAACTAGGTTATTACCGCACGCGAGAGAAATTTGCAAACGGAGCCGGTGAGACGAGGTTTGCATTCTCTAAGGAAGGTAATAACCTAATTACCATAGGTATTAAATACAGTATTTAATCTACAACCGTGCGGTAACAAAATATTCGGAAGAAGTTTAAAAAATTATGAAAAAAAAAATCGCGTCTGTCACCCTTTGACAGTGGACATTGGACAAGTAGAATTTAGGTGATAGGTAGGTAATTTATCTCTGGTAGGTAATTCAAGCGTGCAGTAATAACATTACCGCACGCAAAATCGTGTAATATACCTTAGTTACCGCACGCTTGTAGATAAAATAGTATACAAACCTCAGTAGGAAGTTTTATTCCTGTCTCGAGATTATAGTTGACTTCGACGCTTTGCGCCTCAGTTAACTAAATAATCTCTCGACAGTAATGAAACACTTCCCACCTCGGTATGTAATATACTGATATTCAGCTATTTACAAACTCACCAATAATAACCCGGTTAATTTGAAATTTCAATCAGACATATAAACTTACCGATAATAACCCGGTTAGTTTAAGTTAGTTTGTAATTTTAATTAGGCATATCCAAACTTACCTACCTATAATTTGCCTATAACAACCCGGTTAGTTTGGGTTACTTGCAATTTTAATCAGACATCACCAAACTCATGGATAATAGCCCAGTTAGTTTGCAGTTTTAAAAAGACATTACCAAATTTACCGATAATAACCCGGTTAGTTTGTTTTAGTTGGCTGTTTTAAGAAGACATTACACATTACCAAACTTACCTATAATTACTTGGTAAGTTTGTACTTTACAATTTTAATTAAACATTTCCAAACTTACCGATGATAACCCGGTTAGTATGGGTTATTTTGCAATTTTAGTTTGACATTACCAACAATAATAACAATAACCTGGTTAGTTTGGATAAGTTTGCAATTTTTATCAGTCCTCTATGTATGTTCAATTCAATTCAAAATACAAATTTCAATTTCTTCCGAACGCTGTTATTTCGAGAATAAACCTTTTCGAAGACGCTTATTTCAAATAACCTTTCTTTCAAAATTCAATAATTTTGAAAATATTTATATTTTTCGAAAACGCTTATTTCGAAAATTAATATTTCGAAAATCAATAATTTGGAAAACATAATGGTATTGTTTGATTAAAATTGCAAACTAACCCAAACTAACCCTAAGTATCAACTAAATTTACAGAAAAAGTGTAAGTTTTCATAAAAATATTTTAATATTAGCATGGCAGTTCTACTCTTTCGTATGATGCACTGCGAATTTTGATGAAAATCTGCGGTTTCATCTAAAAAAAAAAGGAAACTCAGAAAATAAAATGTTTCAAATAAAAGTTGTTTAAAATCATTCACACTTTATTGGAAAGTTAATATTTTGTTGCTAAGTCAAATAATAAACTTTTTTGAAACAATTTTTTTCATTTTTCAAAATTCTTTAGACTTTCCAATATTCTTTGAACAATTTAAAGAAACTTTTGTATAAAACATTCTTTGTTTAATCGAATATTAAGGCCGTCAGATGAAACCGGGTTTCAGGGGTGTCCGGAGTCCTCTTAAGTATAGAATATACATTATTTATAAATATAATTTTTCTTTCCTAATCTTTTTATTTAATCACAATGGGATCTAAATAAGTTAAGAGTTGATATTTATTGAGGTCATTTTTTTTTTAAATTTTGTAACTCGTGATTAATATCGAAAATTCAACTTACCCTGATGATCTTGGGGGTGACCAAGGAGATGGTGGCGAGACACTAGCAGTAGATCTAGAGCTAAAATAAATAGTAATTGAAACCAGTCATATTGGCTAAGGACTCTCTTGAGTTATAAAAATATTAATTACCTAGAACAAGAAGGGTCAGGGAAAAATGGTGCATTAAGGTCCGGATCCGCATCTGCTCTTAAGTACCGATTCCCGTAAGGTTTAGTAACAATATCACTAGGATGAAAATGATCTGAACATATTTCTGCATATTTGGGAAAGTTCTCATTATCCTCCATCCCAAATATTGAAAACCAAATTTTCCTCCGCTCAGGGTTTTTAGGAAATCTAAAATAAAAAATTATTTTGATAACTTGTTATTAATGCTATTTAAAATTTAAACAAAAAATATAGCATGCATAATTTTTCGACTTTTTACCTAGACCTAGAAAATACAAGAATTTGTTAAGTTCATTTTTACACAAATGAGATTTTTTTTTTAAATGTACCTATGTAATTAAGTGCATTAAACGAATACATAGCAGCGCAGCAAAACTAGATTAAGTAGTATTTAAATACAATTTTAAAGTAGAATAAAATAATTTTCTCTTATTCTAATATTCACGTGTTTTGTATACGCCACTGACTAACCACACGACAAAACATAACCATAATTTTACTTACCTATGAAACGATAAGTACGGATTCAAAAGGGCTGATTTCTTACAAAACTTGCACTGGCGACCCATATTAGAAAGTTTGCTTAGTCTTTATTCCAAAAAAAAAACACAAAAAACTCAACAATAAACTCTCAATTTCACGATATTTAACAACGCTTCTTACTAGAAATGTTCGATACAAATCTGGTGGCGTACTTAACAACATGGCGTACCCCACGGCCCACTGGCGTACCCGTACAATTTGGCAACCATCGTTTTTCTGATTTCAATCTTGGATTGCTTTTAAATGTAAATAATCGTGTCTCTCTGTGTTGTATGGTCTAAGGTTATCACCTAATGTTGACTTACAATTTGAATTTCAAAATCACTGCAACTCACCTTATAAATGTTTGAATTTCACCACTGCTTGTTATGTCACAAAACTCACGCTCACGCACTGACTGTTGATTAAAAAGAACACCAATAATAACACAAAACAAAACACAGCCAACTGAAATAATCTTTTACAATTCTTGCGCCATCTATTGTAGAATAGCTGTACCATGATTTTTTGGCGAAATAGGTGTAAGAATAATAAAACAAGCATTCGCCAATCCATCAAGAATCGCTGCATTTGAGTGTGTTGCACGAGTTGCATCCTCGTAAGGCTGCGTAACCTATTCAGAAACCTTCCCGGAGATGGCCACAACAACCTAACAAAGTTTCATCGTAATCGGATAAACGGTGTAGGAGCGCATAAGGCACAAACAAACAAACATTGATTTTTATATAATAGATTATGTATTAATGCAACGATGGTGTTACCTAATTATTTCAGATGTTTTTTTCTTGTAGTTCCTTGAGTAACTTTTTGTAGATTGTTTTTCATATTTAAAGTGGAGAGATCTTATGGTAAAATCTCGAGTATCGGTGCCTGAAAGAATACACAAATATCAAATAATCAACAAAGCTATCATTCATTTTTTTTTTATTCTATAGAAGTCCAGACAAAATCATACCAGATGCAAAAAATCGCCAAAAAGTTTAGGGCTTTGGTGCGTGTCTACACCAACAGTAATTTATAGTAAATAGATTGTACCTATTACCTATTTCTCCAACGGACTTCAAAGCAACACATGCAGTTTGAGAAGCTCGACGATTTCTCAGTGCCAACCTTTCCGTTTGACGTCTTGCCTCTCTTTGTTCTTCTGTTTGTGAAGCACGAAGTCGAGCCATCCTAAGGCGACACCTTTCTCGTGCTATTTCTTTTTCTTCTTCAGTGGTATTATTCGTTGCATTGCGAAGTCTAATTGCATTTCGGCTTCGTTGTGAAAGATCAGATCTTCTGGGTCGCGGCATTGTAAATAACCCTGCTAAAATTAATGAAACAATTCAAAATTTCATAATGAAGCAATCTATCGATGCGCGCACAATCACAAAGTAACTTACCGTTTGAAAATGACGATCGAAGAAATTGCCGATGCCCGCACAATAACAAAAACAAATGATATAACCTTTCTTTAACAAATGCTCTGATCCTCTGTTGAGGACTTTCGAAGGACCACCCTTTATTATAGGTCAAAGGGAACCCAAACACATTAACGAGAATTAATACTTTAATTGATTAACCATTTATTGCGGTACAAAACGAATTTATAATTGATTATTAGTCAAACAATTACAACGTGATGTCGTGACATGCTCTCGAATCCGTCTCACATCCGTCTCTCCTTATTGGTCGCGCCGAGCGATCCTATTGGTCGCTTGCCGTTCTTCCTGCAGCTGTTCTTGCGCGTTGCCAGATCCTTTTGAGTTGCTAGGTTTATTACGGCGTTGCCATGTTTAAGAATGTTGCTACACTTTTGTTCAATATAACAGTCTGATATAAGAAATTTGATTTGAATGTTCAAATAGATTTGAATGTCCAAACATATCGCCCCCGTTGAAAAGTTTTAAGTTTTCGAAATGAAACTTTAGCACTTGACACTTGAAATGTTTGCAACACTGCTGACAGTTAAATAGTTTATATTAGTCTTTATTCTGTTGGTAAAAGGCATATCTTCTTCAACGACCTTTTCGTAACTGCTCCGCTTGGTAGGCGAACTGACACTACCCTGGTTATGTGATCGGTACCAGGGTGAAGCTGCACCACACGTGCCATTGACCACTTGAGGGGAGGCAAGTTGTCCTCTACTAGGACAACCATCGATCCGATTTTTATTTCATCGACTGTCTCTTTTTTCCATTTGGATCGATTTTGTAGAGTGGACAGATATTCCGAAGACCATCGGTCCCAGAAATGCTGGAATATTTGCTTTAATCGTTGGTATCGGGTCAAACGGTTCATTTTTATGTCTCTGACGTCTTCATCAGGTGGTAGTAAGAGAGAGCTCCCGATGAGGAAGTGAGAAGGACAAAGGGGTTGAAAATCGTTTAAGTCATTGGACAATGGGGTGAGAGGACGAGAGTTTAGTACAGCCTCGATCTGTACTAACAATGTATACGTTTCTTCATAGGTTAAATTTGCGTTTCCCAAGCCTCGCTTCAAGTGAAACTTCAGGGACTTTACTGCTGCTTCCCACAGGCCGCCCATATGAGCTGAACGAGCGGGAATGAAGCTCCAGTTAATTTTATCGGGTGCTAAGAAATTTTTAACGCTTTTTTCGTGTGATGGACTATTTATTAATTCTTGAAGCTCAAGAAAATAATTGTTGCTGCCAACGAAATTTAACCCGTTATCTGAGTAAATATTGATAGGTTTTCCTCGACGAGCACAGAATCGTTTTAAACAATGAAGAAAGCTATCTGTCGATAAATCGCACGCCAACTCGATATGAATAGCTCGAGTTGCAAAACATACAAATACGCACACATATGTTTTTACGAGCCTACTACGACGAGACGTGTTTTCTTTAACATAAATAGGTCCGGCATAATCTACACCTGCGCTACTGAAAGGTCGGTTAGGCGTGACACGATTAAGAGGTAGATCTCCCATTAAAAAATTACCGGGTTTAGGGTTGGCTCTAGTACATCTGACGCATGATTTAATTACTTTCTTAACTATATTCTTACCCTTGATTGGCCAATATTTTAGTCTTATGATGGAGAGTAATGTTTGACATCCCGCGTGAATATTGTACAAATGCTCATCTAAAACTATTAGTTCCGTGATACGACTTTTATATGGCAAAATTACAGGGTGTTGCTGGTCATAATTTAAATGTACTGCGTGAGTCAGTCTGCCACCAACTCTTAAAACTTTGCTTTGATCGAGAAAAGGATGAAGACTTAAAATAGGACTACTACTACTTATTTGTTTACCTTTATTAAGATCTGATATTTCTTGTTTAAATGCCTCATTTTGAGCGACTCTAATTAAAATCAAATTTGCCTCTTTTAACTCTGAAACACTTAAACTTTCCTCAGATTTTATTACCTTATTTAATGTTCTATTCTTGAATCTTATAATGTACCCTATAATTCTTTTGAGTTTATCGAGTTTTGAATATTTGTCAAATAAATCAAAATTTTCATTTTCAATTTCGAGTGTCGGTTTTTCTACAGTATTTACAACGAGACTAACATTTTTCATTTCCGGAAGTTTCTCTAAATCAAGTTTATAAGAATAGTCCGTGATTTTCGAGCTTAGGTAGGTGTCGTCTTTTAGAAATTGTGGCCCGTGAAACCACATACTATTGTTTAACAATTCAGTTGGATTTACCCCTCGACTTATAATATCTGCAGAGTTTTCTTTAGATCGTACGTGTCTCCATTCATTAAAATTTGAGATTTCCAAAATTTTTGAAACTCGATTGGCAACGAAAGTTTTTAGTTTTGAGGGTTCAATTTTTAGCCACGAAAGAACGATCGTTGAATCAGTGAAATAAAGTGTTCTATAAATGTCAATATTTAATGTGTTTTTAATTTTTGAGACTAACTTTGCGAGAAGATGAGCTGCTGAAAGCTCAAGTCTGGGTAATGTTTCTTTTTTGAGTGGCGCAACTTTGGATTTTGCAGTTAATAACTGAACAATCTTGCTACCGTCATCGTTGTATGAAGCTAAATACACTACACACCCATAAGCCTTTTCAGAGCTGTCACTGAATCCATAAATCTCTACATGCTTACAATTTTCAGCTAAAACGTGTCTTTCAATACAAATGTCATTTAAGAGATGAATTTCCGAGATAAATTCTAACCAATGATCCTGTAAATCCTTTGGTACTTCTGGATCCCATTCTAATTTCCTGTGCCACAGTTCCTGTATTATTAGTTTCGCTTTTATTACAGTAGGCCCAATCAGCCCCAATGGATCAAAAATCTGCGCGATTGTTGACAAAATTGAACGTTTTGTAATTTTATTTTTATTTATCGTGACATTAACGTTAAACTTTAAAAGATCAGAATTCGCGTCCCATATTATCCCTAAAGTTTTCAATTCTTTTTTATCATGAAACAGAACATAGTTTTCATCGTCCGTTACGTTTTGTTTTTCGATATAATTTAAAATATGTTTACTGTTTGACGACCATTTTCTTAATTCCAACTTTGCATCGTTTAAAATTTCTGATACTTCGTGATAAATATCTAAAGCTTCCGATTCCGAATCAACACTGGTGAGGAGATCATCCATGTAAAAACAAGTTTTAATAACTTTTGAAGTTCTAGGATACTTATTTTCAAATAAATCCGCTAGTTCGTGTAAGCAACGCGTGGCCTGCCATGGTGCACTCGAAGTGCCGTATGTGACAGTATTTAAATCGTAAATTTTTATTTTTTCGTCGGTACTTTCACGCCACAATATTTTCTGGTAGCTACGTTCGCTTGGATCTATCCAAATGCACCTATACATCATTTTTACGTCAGCATTAATGACATACTTCCGTAATCTTAATCTTAACAATATAGAAAAAGGATCCGATTGAATTGTTGGTCCTACTAAGATTAAATCATTAAATGAAATTCCGTTGCTGCTCTTCGAGCTAGCATCGAAAACTACTCGACATTTTGTAGTTACAGCACTATCTCTCAGCACGGCACTGTGAGGCATAAAATATGAATTTGTTTCCAAAGAAACGTCCGAATCAAAAAATCCACTAAAGGTCATGTGTCCTAAGGATTCGTATTCCCGCATAAATTGTAAATAGTGCGTTTTTAAATTGCTATCTCTGTTCAACCGTGTTTCTAAATTTTTTAGTCTTTTAACAGCACTACATTTTGAGTCTCCTAACTTCAAATCTGTGTCCTGTTTAAATGGGTATTTGACTACAAACCTATTATCATTACTGCGCGTCGTGGTTTCTTTAAAATACTGTTCGCAATATTTTTGATCATTGGATAAAAAATTATTAGGTTCGAACTCTTCAAGTAGCCAGAATTTTTGTAATGAATCGTGCAAAGCTTTGTTTGAAATTTTTGAAGTGTTGCATACGGTTTTTCGATATCGTTCGTGAATGTTTAAAGGACCGACTAATACCCATCCTAAAGATGTTTCTTGTAGAATTGGAAGATTAGTACCTAACTTTATTTTGCCTGATTGCAACAAGTCATAAAAAACTTCTGATCCGAGTAATAAGTCTATTTGTTTGGGAACGTTAAACTTTTCATCTGCGAGACAAATGTCTTTGGGAACGTTAATCAATGATTTTTTGAATTCTACGATAGGGAGTTGTTCTGTTATTATTGGCAATACTAAAAACGTTAAATTTCTTGTGAAATTTCCAAATCGCGATTTTATACATGCAAAAGTCTTACTGTTGATTTTTGTTTGAATCTGATTGATGCCTGAAAGGGGAACATTGAAATCTTCGCATTTCAATTTTAATTTATTTATCAAAGACTGCACTGAAAAAAAGGATCTCTTTAACCAAATGAATACGACTTTCAGTCAAAAGATTCGCGCTTTTGCATAGGTCCAAGAGCGATGTTTTTTGATCCAAAGCATTAACTCTCTTCTTATAGATTGCCTAAAATTTATTCAGGCAAGATTTTATTCTTTTCGTTCAAAGCTATTACTCTCTTGGTTCAAAACCAATGTTATAATCGTCCCAACTCGGCAATTGAAACTCTAACTTTCGTTTAAAAAAAAAGGTTTCGTTTATTAAAAGTAAAATAAAATTAAATAGCTTGGCAAGAGGGAAGCTTTGACTAATTTAAAATAACTTCGTGTTTTCGGTTTGAAGGCCGGATTCAGAGTGTCTTGTCTTCAGTCTTTCTTCTCCCAAGAAAACGGCTTCATGAGATGTCCTTAAGGAGGGCGTCGTCTTCAAGTAATAAAATATAAAGGTACCTAATTCTATACAGATGTAAAGTTTATTTTGGAAAGTTTGTGAAATAAAATCATAAACACTAAAATTCTAAAGGTACAAGGAAATTCTGGCCGTCTAGACAATAAAATAAAAGAAGGGTCTACTCTACAGTCTCTGGCGCCTTGGCGGCAAGGATAATAATTGGGGTTCTTGCAATAGAAATAATAGAAAGAAGCTGTATAATAATTCCAAGCCT